CTGTGATGTCCTTGGCGTGTCCTTGATGATGGGGCTGGGGTGGGGTGGATCTTGTTTCCTTGGCTCCCAGGACCATAGGGCATGAGGACTGGGGCTTTGGGCTCCGTAACAGAGGCCAATAGTAAATGAATAAATGAGTGGAACCTCCTTACAGGGCAAATACTCAGACTTTGGGGGCCTCAGAAACAAAGGGGGCTTCCAACACCAAAGGTTGAGTCACTCCAGCTGCTTGCCCCAAAGTTCAAGACAAATACCCAAAGACTACGGAGGTTCCCGCTCATCCCAGCTAGATGTGGCCGGGGCGGGCGGGAACCTGGAAATGGGGCCCAGAGTTCCTGGCTCCTCACAGTCATGCAGGGAAGGGAAGAAACGTAGGTTTAAATCCTCACTCTGCCTGGCTAGCTACGTCATCTTCAGCAAGACAGCTGACCTCTATGAGTCTGTTTTCTCGTTAAAAATAAAAATAAAAATAATGAAGACAGTAACAGCCCCCACCTCACAGTGTTGTTGTATTAAACAAGCCCTACCACTGAAAGAGGCACATAGTAGATACCAAAAAACGGCCATTTCCCCGCCCCCCGCTCTGGCACCAGCGAGCCGGGTGCTCTGATGGCCTTTGCCTTCCACCCTGGGCCCCTCTGGTCACCAGTCTCCAATCACCAGTCCCTACAAGGTCCTACATTTCTAGACTGTACTATTGACAGGAGATCCCCCAAAATTGTAAATCCAACAAATCATGTTACAGAGAGGAAGGGGCCCAGGGCATTCACTGGGAACATGAGTTTGTTACTCCCCACAGGCCAGGCTGACCAGCTAGGGCAGCCCGCTTTGACTGGTATCTTGGCGCCCTTGGCTCTCAGCATCCACTTGGGGTTCCCAGAGGTTTCATATTTTAAGTGACGTGTCACCTTGGTCTTGCCTCTCCACCAGACAGGGCCCCCCCCAAAGGCAGGGATACCAAGACAAGGCTAGAGCCTGCCCAAGCCCCAGCCTCTCCCCACTGACCATTTTCCGCTTGGTGCAGAGGAAGGCGTGGCACTCGAGATTCTCGTTATGCTGGCTCTGTGCGATATATGCAAACACCTTGCCATGCATCTTGTCCGCTGTACAGTAGGAGATCCTGAAAGGCAAGTGGGAAATGTCATCAGACCCCAGCACGAGGGCCTGACAACATCCAGGACACCCCCTAGGGTATCTCTCCTGAATTCCAGAGAGCCTGCTCTTCCACTCCACCAGCTCAAGATCTGGACAGACTTGACCTCTGGGACCTCTGGGACCTCTGGGACCTCTGGGCTGGCATTCTAGACTGTCTATAGGGGATGGGGCGGCAGGGGGAAACAAGCTGGACAGGAAGGAGTAGGGGAAAGACTAGAGGAAGGGCACTGAGCCACACCCCAAAATTATAATAGCTAAACCGTTACTGTATGCCAGGCAATGTTCGGATACCACCTCATTTAATTCTCAGAGCTGTCCTCTGAGATGGGTTCTATCATTACCCCCACTTTTCAGATAAGAAAACTGAAGCTAACAGTCTCAGACCACCTCAGACCTTATCTGAGGATTCCAGAAGCTGTAACCACTGGTTCTTAAAAGTTTGTGCTGGAAGGGGAAGTCGGACGATGCCCAGCCACCAACACTCTTCACCTGGCCTCCCCCTCCCCAACCTGCCTTCCTATCATGGTCCTGACCAGAAGTAAGATAGGTTCTAGGCCTCTCCTGCCCAGGGTGAGTGAGACCGCTAGCAGATTCTCCTGGAGCCTGGATGGAGTGGAGGAGCTGGGAGTAGGGTGAGGATGTGTGGAGATGATCAGACCAGGAGCCCCAGTGGATCCAGGAGGGAGACACAGAAACTCTCTCCTTTTAGAACACTCGCCCCTCCCTCACCCCTTGTCTGACCCCTCCATGCTGGCTCCGGTCATCCTGGGACTCTTAATCAGGAGATGAACTCTCTTGGCAACCCAGAGTGGGGACAGAAGTTCAGCAGATTCCCTTACCCGGTGTGACCCCAGCTTCAATCACAGGCATTGACATAGGGATTAGCACCCCAGGTGGGCAGATGGGGAGGGGTGCCAGGTCACCAGCTACTTCTCCATCCTGGGGGATCCAGTCTCCTGCCACCTCCCCTGGGAGGCCTTCCCAGATTTCCCCAGGCAGGCCCATCTTTCTCTGTCCTCTAGAGAAACACTTTTATTCTATCTCCTACTTCCCTCTCCATTCGCTCCTAGACTGGAAGCTCCTTGAGGGCAGAGCTGGGTGTGATGCCTCACCTGGTTAAAGGAGGCAGGTAGAACCAAGAAGGTGGAAGACACCAGACAGAAACTCTAAAACCACTCCCCACCCCCTTGTTCCCCATCTCAGTATTGGCTTGCGCTCCAGTGGGCTGAGCCACCAGCTTGGAGACAGAGCAGAACGGTGGAGGGATGCCGGACAGACGGGGACGTGATGGACAGAACTCGGTCCTGGTCCCAGTTCAGCCATTACCTCACTGTGAGGCCTTGGGCAACTCCTTCTCTGGGCCTCAGCTTCTCCAACTATAAAATGAGCCTGGGCTATCCTATCCCTTCTAGCTCTGAAATCCTACAGCTGACCAGCCAAGAGAGGGGTGGGTAGAGTCTGAGGCTCCAAGGGCTGGGCTCTGCCTCTTCATAAACAGCTCCCACCACCACCACCATCACAGACAGATACCATGTACACTGTGGCCTCAGGCTCTGCCTTCGGATATTACCTCATTTAATTATCACACTTCCCTGCACGCCTGGACAGATGTCCAGCGCAGAGCTGCTGCATTCACAGCAGAAGGGCAATGACTCTGCAACTCTCTGCTCCAAGCCTGACTCAGCAACATGCTTGCGGGGGAGGGCGGTTCCCAGTCCTGATCGGGCCTCAGCTGCCTGCTTCAACTAGTGCTCATGACAAGAGCCAGTGCCATTTAACCAAGTGCCCACTGTGAGCCAGGCACTGTGCACTCAGCACTTCATAACAACACTATAAGGCCAGATCTGTTTCCACTGCCATTTATAGATGAGGAAACTGAGGCTCCAAGGTCACTCAGACAGGAAGTGGCAGAGCCTGGATTCAGACAGGGCATCTACCCACTGCCCCAGGGGCAGAATGAATTCTGAGCATACCTGTAAATGGACACGTTCTCAATGAGCTGGTTGGTGATGCTGTCGGTCAGGATAATCCCCCGTGGCGTTACCTTGAGAGTTACCTTCTGCAGCTTCTTCCCGCTGGCCTTGGCCTTGGGGGCAGACATGGGTCAGAGGAGCCTGCTTGCCTGCCTCGCCTGAGACCCATTCTCGTGGGTTACACCTAGCTGCTCTAGGCCCCAGACTCCAGGCCCATATGAGGCCTCAGCTTGGGTGACCAGCACTTTCTTCTAATAACAGGGACAACTGCTGCTCACTGAGCACCATTGTCTGCCAAGCGCTGGACCTCAAGTCATCCTCACAGGCAGCAGGGCTTCTTCCCAGGAGGAAATGGACTCAGAGGTTAAGGGACTTGCCCAAGGATACACAGCTAGAAGGGATCTCAGACTCTGGGCAGTGAGTGGACTATCACAGTGCAGCAGGCTGACTCCTGGGGACTCTGCTCCACATACTGACTATACCAGGGCCTAAGCTGGAAGGGTCTGAGGTCACCAAGGGAGGTAGATTTACAGGGCCCATGTTTACTCAGAGCTGGGGAGGGGAAAATGTGGTCCCTGGTGGGCTACCCTGTCCCTCAGGCCATAGGGCAAGTGGTTGGGTGACAGTGACCTCCCTCCCTACTCTTCCCTAGCACTAAATCACCAACCCTTAGGCATGGGGCTAAGTTGGGGGAGGGGAGGCTGGGAGAGGCCATGGCCACAATTGCTGGAGAGGAGGACACTGACCCTGACCCTGCGAGCCCAATGGTTTCCCTCTACCAGAGTCCCTAAACCAGATGCAAGGGGACTCAAGGGCAGGGACAGCTCAGATGGGGGTAATAAGCAGGGGACGAGGAGCACCCCGGGAAGAAGCTGGCCCTGGTTCCCGGCTCCCCTGACTGGGGCTCACCGTGGCCACGATCCTCTTGACGGCGGCCGCGGACAGCTCCTCGCCCTTGGGCTGCTCCACCAGCGTCATGCCCAGGTACTTGAGGCTGAAGAGCATCCCCTCGAGCAGTGTCTCCCGAGTGTCTGTCCAGTTCTCCGGCAGCTCTGGGCAGGAAGATGGGAACCTCAGAACCTGCTGGGCAGGACCACCACAGCAACAGCTCTTGCAGCCCCCATTTTCCAGGGAGACCCAGCAAGGGGCATTAGGGTCCTGCCATCTACCATTATTTTTATATTTAATAAAGAGTTAACATTTTCTAGTACACACTAAGCACCTGGTAAGAAGCTTTATATAAAATATTCTCATTAATCCTCCTGAGAACCTATGAGGTAGACACTTTATCATTCTGACATTTACAAAGGCACTGAGGCCCAGGGAGGCAAAATCACATAACCAAGTCCAAAGAGCCAGCAAGTACAAGAGCCAAGATTCAAACCCGTACTTTCAGGTCCAAAGCCCAAACTCAATTTCAGTGCTAACATTTGCTGAGCACAAACTGTGTCATTTTCTTACTGACTCTTCACTGTAATCCTGTGAGGTAGATATTATCTCCACCTTAGAGATTAGGAAACTGGGGCTCAGAGAGGCAGTCACCAGACAAAGACCACAATGAATAAAGGGCTGGGGTCAGAATTCAAACCTGGGTGGTTTCCACGGCCCCAGCCTGCTCTGCTCTCCTCCATCTGCACAGCCATAGAGATCAAGTAGGGAGGAAAGAGAGAGCAGGCCAAAGAGAGTCGGGTGAGGTAAGGGTCGAAGGAGGGGGAGGTGACTGCTCATATGACATCATATGAAGGCCACCTGACAATGGCAGATCTGAGTTCATATCCCAGCTCTGTTTCCTACCACCTGCATGGTCTCGAGGAAGTCCTCTCTCCTCTTTGAGACTAATAGTGTCCGGGCTGCAGTAATGGCACAGACAGAGCAGGGCACATGGGAAGGGTCCTCTAAAACCGTGACCACCACCGAGGTCAGGAAGGTTGGGAAATGAGAGGATAAGCCCGGCTCACTGATGGCGAGAGAGACCAGAAGGGAAAGGTGGAAAGAGGCCCCCACCTTGCCCCACCCACATGAGAGAGGGCCCTGTGCAGGAAGAGGGAGAGCAGGGGAAGTGTGGTCTTCACTGGAGGTGTTAACCATCTCCAGGGTTCATCCCCAGCAGCTGAGGCCCAGAGGCGTCAGATCACTCAGCTGAGAAGCAATTAGGCCAGAAGAAGGAAGGTCTCCAGGGATCCTTGCAAGCCCATCACCAGGACGAATGAACACCCTGTGCTCCTGTCTGTTAGAGCCCTTTGTCTATCCCTCACCATTTCTCTCAGATGCTACAACTGTAGGAGGTATTACAGATGAGGAAACTGCATTTCACCCTCATACACAGTCTTGGATAGAGCAGGATCCAGACAGGAATCAGCTTCCAGGAATCGGCTACCATAGAGATGGTCAGGGCCAGCTTCCCTAGACCATTTCCTGGGAGGGGAGCTGACAGAAGTCCTGTGCCCTCCCTGTCTCCTCCTGGGACCCTCACTGGTTCTGATGGACGAGCCACAGGAAGAAAGTTTAGGACTGGGTATCAATGGTTCCAGAGTAGCTGAGGCCCTGGCAGGGTCTGTTCTACCCCTCCTAGCAACTGTCCGAGAGCTCTGGTTCTCCAGTGGCTCTGAATTCTTCTCTACCAGCCAGAAGGAGCTTATATACCCACATATCTCTGGGTTTGACTTGAGCAAGCCACTGTCCCTCTCTGAGACTATTTCCTCGCCTGAGAAAGAATGCATGTGTGTTTGGTGTGTGTATGGGGTGGGGGTAGAGGGAATACAGAACTTACATGTATACCCAGGCCCCTGGATTAAGATCCAGGTGAGCAGAGATTTGTTGACTAGTCATCCAGAACCTGGCATGAAGCTGACCCTCCATATTTGTTGAGTGAAAGAGAGACCTCGGCAACCCCAAGGCTTTGTTCCGACCTGCGATACCTCCAACCCCATTCTTAGCTCTGGCCCCTGGCCCACTGCCCTTCAGCCCTAGCCCTTGGGCCTCCACCCAAACACGAGGCCCAGCCCTCACTGAGAAGATCCCAAAGTTACCCTATCTTCTGTCCCATCAGCTATGAGCCTATATTTCATTTGATCCTCCAAAAAGAATCAGAAAGTCCTGAGGTGTCCTAGTCCTGGATTGGGTGATGGGGGCCTAGGAGTAACTCAGATATGGGCTTTGCTCTTAAAGAATACCACTATGATCGTGAGGACAAAATAGACTTCTCAAGTAACAAAGATGACAATAATCACAAAGCAGCAGCTCGCACCATTACCTCTAACACTCATGGCTACCTTGCAAGCAGGCATTTTTTCATTCCCATTTCACAGATAAGGAAACCGAATATGTCAAATTAGCTGTCAAACTGACTCTAAAGCCCAAGCTCCTATCCGTTAGGCCATACTATCTTCCCATGAGGCAAACTACCTTAATTTAAGCAAAAGGTCAGGGAGAAGTTCCTAGAGCCAGAGGTATTTCTTCTCACAATTCTTAATTCCTGAGGCTTTTCCTCTGTCAGTAGATACCATGACTACCACTTTCAACCAGAGATCCATCTAAGCAAGAATGGCAAAGTAGGTGCTGCAGTGCCTCTTGCCTGTGTCCTTGGCAGACATTGCTAATCAATTACACCTCTATTCCATCTGGTTTATAGGCTTTGGACTGTTTCTCAACACAAGGCTCCAGGCAATACCAGTCGATCAGGCTTGGCCTTGTTCATCTCATTATTCATCCCTGCCCTAGGGCAAACTACCCTCCCCACCTCATTTCCATGTCCCCATTCTTCCATTTCCTCTGGCTCAGCCCTTTCCTGGCCCCTCTCCAAAGCCACTTCCGCTCCCTCCATTCCAAAGGGCCAAAGCTTGCCAAGGTCATGGACGACCTCTTTGCTGTCAAAACATTCCCCAGCCCTCCTTGACCTCTGAAATGCTCAGCATTTTTCTGCATTCCTCCTTCCCTAGCCTGGCCCTTCCCTTATTCTACAGCCACCTGGAAGAGGGCCCTAATAGAATGGTTGGCACTCATCAGCCTTGGAGACCTTATGCCCAAACCCCTCACTTGACAGATGATGAAACTGAGGCCCATAGAAGATGCAAGGTCACACAAGTCAGAGGACCCCCCAGCTCCCAACACAACACAAGCAATTCCCACTATAGGCAATAACTGTTGAGGCGTTACAGGTTCCCCGGTCTCCTCTCCCACAATAACCCTGAATGCACACACGCACATGCACACACGCACATGCACACACACACACATACACACACGCACACAACAGAGGCTCCAACCATGCAGGGATCCTTCCTCATGATGTAATGCTTACTTTCCCACTTCTGTCTTTGCTCAAGTAGTTCCCTCTACCAGAAATGCCAATCCCCTTGCCTGATCAAAAGTTTCATACTGGCCTCCTCCAGGAAGCCTTCTTTCAGGCAGTATAGCCTCGCGGTTAAGAGCAAAGGCCTTTATCCTAGAATTCCAGTTCTGACACAGTGGTTTTGAGCACATTACCTTCCCTGAGTCTCAGTTTTCTCATCTATGAAGTAGTGAGAAACAATAGTCCCTGGCTCTTAGGGCTGTTCTGACCCGTTGATGAGATAATAAAATGTAACGTATGCAGCAGAAGGCCCCACCCACAGTTACGCCTCCCACGGGGCCTCGTCTCTCCTGTCAGTGGGTTGCTCCTGCTTCTTGAGTGTGGATTTTCTTCTCTTCCTCCCAGAGCCACATCATCCATCACCAAGCAGCTGCCTCTTGAAGGACTCCCCCAGAAACTGGTGTGGAGAAGGTGCGCCCCTGCCCAGTATTGCTGCCCTTCCTTGTCCTACTTCTCCCTGCCCACCCCCATCACCCCGCCCTCCCAGGACCGGCACAGATCCTCCTTCCCGTCTAGGGAGGCCTGCCTCCTCCCCTATATTTCTGGGCATGACGACTCATCTCTTCAATGAGGTGTATCTCATGCCCCACGCCCTCCCCCAAAACCAGCATCTAAGAGAACTCGACAGAGAGAGGTAGGGTTCACTACCACACCCTTCTCCCAGTCTAGCCACCTCACAAAGGCTGGAGGCAACAGGCTCCTTCCCAGGAGGAGCCCGGGCTTCAGGAAGAGCTCCCAGAGGTCCCCAGACAAATACAGGCCTGAGTCCACAGCCTTGTTCCGGTCTGGGTTATTTTTGGCCCTGTGGTGGGTAATGACTATGCTATTTTAACTTGCAATTTTACAGATGACCTGCTGTCAGAGTTAGCTGGGGACACACCATATGCCCAGTCTAACTCACAGCTGCAAACATGTGCTCTATCCTCGTTAAGGCCCCCTGATCAGGAGTCAGAGCTAGGCAGAGTGCCCCTGTGTCCTCTTTGCTGCCCCAGGTTACCAGGCCTGGCTGGTACCTGGAATATCAGAGCTGTAGCCAAATCCACGGGCCAGCAGAACCTCCAAATGGGGCCCGAGTCTCTAGTCTCCTCCAGCTTGGCGGGGAGATGGCCTCAGAAGCCAGAGTGACATCTCAGAAGGGGACTTGAACTCTGCTGTGACCTGGAGTGTGGCTGCTTCTCTAGGCCACGGTCTCCTTTTCTGACAAAGGGGTTCAGTCTCTCTGGAACATCATCATAAGAAGGTTCAGGATGTGATAAGTGCTAGGCAAATTTCAGAAGTTGTTAAGATTATCAAAAGAAAATTAAAAAATGATAATAGCAGCAGCTACCATTTCCTAAGTACCTACCTACACTGCAAGAGAAACATATGCTCTCAAGGTTAAAATGAAGGGGTCTGAAGACGAGCTGTGGTGTTCAGTTCCTCCACCTCCCTGGTCCTCAGTTTCCTCACTTGATGGGGACAATAATAGCATCCACCCCCTGAGGTTGCTGTGAGGATGAAATGAGTTCGCACTTCAGGTGTGCTTAGATCCATGCCTTTTACATGCCAAGTGCCACTGAAGTGTGAGCTACTGTCATTTCCAAGGGCCAAGTGCAAAGAGCTTCAGTGTGTACACAGCCATTTGTAGTATTTTACGAGAAGAGTCAAGGAGATATTAGGATTCCAATTTCACAGATAAAGAAGCTCAGGAGCCTGACCATG